TCCCGCTCTCTGTCCCCATCCCCCTGTCCCGCTCTCTGTCCCCGCTCCCCCCCGGCCCCCCCGAGGCCTCCCTGCTGCCTGCGGCGCCCCCTGGCGGCGGCCGCGCCTCCCTCAGCTCCATCCTCCAGCTCTGCCCTATTGTTCTCCCGCCCGTCGCTCCCTCCCTCCCTCCGCCGGGGCTCGCGTCCTCCCTCCGCTCTCCTCCATCCCTCCCTCCATCCCTTCCTCCTCCTTCTCGCTGTCGCTCCCGCCCCGCTCCCCGGAGCTGATGTCACGCACCCGCTGAAGGCGCGGGCGATCATGGCTGCTGCGGCCGCGGCCGTGCTGCCGGCCTCCAGCTAATGCCCGCGATGGAGCCGGCCAGCCTGCTGCGGTTCCTGCGGAAGCTCAAGGAGGTTTTCGACGTGTGCGATGAGGATGCGGACGGGTTCATCCGGGTGGAGCACTTCGTCGCCCTGGGGCTGCAGTTCGGCCAAGGGGATGAGGTGAGTGCGGCGACTCCCGGGCCCCGCGCAACTTTCACCTGCTGTGTGTGGCCGGAGCCGCCCGGGCCGTCCCGTCACCCACCTGTCCTGACCGCGGTTCCCGTCCCTCCGGGAGCCCCAGCTTCGTGCCTCAGGGCAGCCCGGTCCCGCTCCTTTCGGGCTGGCTCGGGCTCCCTCCGTTCCTCGGGGGGTCCCGGAGCGCTCCCCTTGGCGGCCTGGAGCCCCCTTCCCTCAGGGCCATCAGCCGCCTTCCGCCTTTCCCGTGGAGCTCTCCCCAAAGACAGCCCGGCTCCCTCCTTCCCCAGGGGGTCCCGGAGCATCCCTCGTCACTCGGGGCAGCCCAGACCCCTCGGGTACAGGGACCGGTCGCGGTGCCTTTCGGGGGTGTTTTTATTCTGGGTTTAGTCCGTCCTGGCTCAGCTGAGCTCTCGCCGGCGTGCCGGGCTCGGTGGGGCACCGGGAGCGGAGCCGGTGCGGTGCCGGCAGTGTCTGGATTGCCAGGAAAACACCTGTCCAGGCACCCCAAAACCGCCCGGAGATGGGTTGGGATCGAGGGCTCCATCCCTGCCTCCCTCCATCCCTGCCTCCCTCCAGCCCTTCAGTGACACAGCGTAAATCTGGAGTCGCGCCACCGGGCTCGGCAGAGGTTGCGTCAGTGGGACCGGTGTGAACCGTGACATCAGTGGAGCTGGGAGTGGGATTCGGGCCAGAGGCAATGAGGGCAACGCCAGGCGCTGGTTGGAAACAGCTCCCTTCAGTGATTCCATCAAGGGCTGCAGCTCCAGAGAAATGAACCAGCAAGGAACGCTTTCCAAGACTCTTGGGATGTTGCACTTTACCGTTCAGTGCTTGACAATGTGCCCCAGCAACTTTGGGTGCCAGGGAGGAGGAGTGAAGTTGGAGCTACGATGAGGTTCAGAAAACCAGTGTCAAACAACCTTTTAAACCAATAAAACAAACTAGTGTGAGGAGCTAATAAAACGGTGGTTTATAGAGGGATGCCAAAGAGCAAAGCCAGAGTGAATTCAAGTAATTGTTGGAGCAAATCGCTTATTTCTAGCTTGCCACTCATAATAAAACACAGCTTGTGAATTAAATCAGGAAATCAGGAGACAGAAGGCTTATTACTTATAGACAGTCACAGGTCTTAAACATTTTCTTAATGACAAGCTGCAGTTTATGGTTTTAACAAGCAAAATAAGAAGGAGAAATGAGTAATCGTAACAAGTTTTATTGATTTGGGGTTTATTTGATTCTTGTATAATTTTATAGAAACTAATAGAAGTATTTTAAAATCCTTACTGCCAGATAAACTGCATCCAAATTGCTTTTTGCACTACTGTGTTTAATTTGAGGCAGATCAGTGGCTTTCTTGTGCAGCACCGAGGAAAACTGATGAAATTCCACTGTCTGTTTTGCAGCAGGATGAATGACAGTGATGGTCATAACAATCCTTTTTCGTTTTAGAAATCTTTCAGGCTGCAAGAGTGGAGTGGGTATTCTGTAAGATGCAAAGGAGGTTTTGGGTGATGATCTCATCAGCTTAGAGTGAATTGGAGTAGAAAATAATTGGAGTAGAAATTAAATATTGGAGTAGAAAATTAGCTGAAAAATATTTGAATGGAGAGAAAGAGAAAACTGGAAATCCCAGTAAAGACAGCGCTAGAAAAGTACCAGTTGTCAGTGATAATTTCAGGATGGGCTGCTTTGCTGGGCAGGCACAGGAGAGTGCCAGTGGTGAGAAATGCTTGCTTTGTATTTTGTTCAGTTGTAACTGGCAGTGTTTGATAAGGTATTTGTAAAACTGGGACAGAGAAGTCTTATCTGTATCTCTTACCTCTTTATCTAGTGTTATAATATGACTTGTTCTGGTTTACTTCCCCGTGCCTCGTGCCTCGTGTAGTTGGTGTTGGAAGTCCCTGGACTTCACGGGAGCAGTTGAGTAAATGGGATTTGTAAATCACCCAAAGAGATTTACTAGTGAAATACAGAATCAGTTTTCCAAGTGGAGATTTACTCCATAACAACCACTGTAGGTGAACTACTCTAGTTTAAAGGCTTGTTAAAAGTGAACTTTTTGTGTGATGAATCACAGTTGATGTTTGGAGATAGTGAGAATCTACTCTCCAGGTAACACAGTGCTTTCAATCTTGCATCTGCAGGAACCTACCCAACTTGTGTGTGGAAATGCATCTCATGAAATTAAACTGACAAGACACTGTTAGGGAGCAGTTCCCTTTAACATATTAGAACATATTTCCTGTCAATGAAAATAACTTCTATTTTTGATTATGCTAAACTTCTTGGGCCTTATCTACCTCAGCTCCCTTTACATTCAAAAGAAATCTTTCCATGGGCATCAGTGAAAGATTGATTTGCCCTCATGTGCAATCAAATATAAACAGAATATTATTCTGAGTAATTCTGATACTTACCAACAGTAGCCTGGGGTCATGTCTATGAAATGAGAGAGTATTTGTCCCTTCAGTTGTGCCTGAAGGGTACACACAGCTTTCCAGCTCTTCTCTACCTCCTCAAAGCCACCACCATCCAAAGTTTGGAGTCTACAAATTCTTGGTACTAACTTCAGTAGGGTTTGTAGGACCCTTTTAGCCTTTTCTGTTTTTTTTTTATTTTCTTTTTTTGTCCTGTTTTCTCTTTCTTTCTTGTGTGTGTGTGGTGTGTAGTCAACACACTGAATTTTATTATTCCTGAAAGATAACAACTCTCTGAAAACTGCCCCAAGGCAAAAACGTTGCAGCAAGGCAGTAGCTTTCCCTTCAAGCAAAGCAGTCCTTACCTGCACAGTCAAAATAATAGACTTTAATGTTTCTGGTTATATTTTTTTCTGTTTTATTTTTTAATGGGCTTTTGAAACCTCTGCTTCTAATAGGTTCTAGCAAGTTTGCTTGCAAGCTTTTGCTTCGCGCTGCAAAGCATGTGGTTCAACTAGAGGAAAAAAGGATTTGGATGTATTGATTTGGCAGGGCCAGGAGCAGAATCAGGTCTCTAAATTCCTGAATTTAGAGCAGACCTGACTGGCTGTCAAGCACTGTTTGCATATACAAACAGTTGTGGAACTTGTACTTTTAGGCAGCTGGGCATTCTGGCCTCCGTTTATCCCATCTGACTGTGGACATTTAACTGAGTTGTCTCCATCAATCTTTCTCCGTGGGCATTGATGAGCAGTTGAACACTCGGAGGCTGTAACAGGATCAAAGGATGAAATAAATCCCTCAGAGAGGCTTCTTTGTCTCCAGGACAACAGAAACTCCTAGCTGAGACTTTTGGTTCCGTGCTTGGGTCTGATTTTCCTCGTGAATGGGGTGTTTGCCGTTGCCGTTTGTGTAGAAATCTGAAGAAAGACACGACGGGCTGTTTCCAAAGTGACTTGACTGGATGGCATGTGCTCACTAGCTAAAGAAACACTTCACATAACACTGAGAAATGCCAAGAGTCGCTCACCATCTGGTTCCCTTTTACTGGGAAAAGAGTTGCAGTAGCAGCCAAGTGTCTGGGAGCATTGTGAGTGACATGTTCAGCAAGCCCCAGTTCTGGCAGCAGATTTTGTGAATGTGTATTTCAGGGTAGTGCCAGTTGATGTTGCATTATGCCAGATTCTACTTAAACTCCACACTCAGTTTTCAGCAACAAGTAAAGTAAGCTGAGTGTGTTGACAACTTCTTCCTGAGGCAGGTAAACACCTTTTGGAGGTGTGCAAATCATGCAAGGGCTCACACATTCATCTTTGTCATGGTGAGATCTGCTCATCAACCTGAAGTAGTGTCACAATTGAAAGGGAGATTCAGCAGCTAATAAAATGTATAGGCCAATATCAATTATTCATGTGAGTGGACAGTAATTCACTTAAAGCCAATGGTTTTTAGTGGTGTAGAACAGAAATAGCTAAAAATGAGTTCACAAATTTCTCATGAACAGATGAAAATTTTTGGCCAAAAGAAACTGTTATAGGGAGATTGTTGCTAATTTCAATCATCAGCCCCTTTCAGGGCTGAAGTTAAAGGCATCAACCTCAAGTGCTGGCCCAGCAGCAGGTTGTGGCTGTGGCTGAGTTTAATGGCACTTCTGGTGCTTCATTTTGACTTGCTGTCAGATGTCTCCCAAGACCTGAGGAGTCTTTCTGAGGAGTCTGAGTGGATTTCAGGCTCCTGGCTGTAGTGTTGCAACTCAGTTGCACCCAGAAATTAAAGGAATTAAAATTCCTGTCAGTGTGCACAATGACAGAGTAGCTCATACCTTCTTGGTAACTGAGTCTGCAGCCCTGAGAAAAAGAGACTTTGGCACTGAAACATGGAAATAAAAGGGTGTTATCAAGTAATACTGTCATTTTCATAAGGGCATACTTCTTTGCTTTTCCTGAAAATAATTATTGAAAAAAAAATAAAATATTTGCCTAGACATTAACAAGGATACAAGGAGCAGTCCCATGTGACAGTGTTTTCTAGGCAGCAGCAAGGCTGCCACACATTCAGATTCCTTAAAACTCTATTTGCTAATGACCCAGATGTTTAATACAATTTACAATTACTGGAAAAAAAGCAGAGTTCTGAAGTGGAACAGTGGGGTACTCAGTTTATGGATTAGTCAAGGTACAGCCACTGTAGCCTCCCTAATTCAATATGAACTAGCAGTGAGTATGTTTAAAATAGCCTTTTGGTATATGCTGAAAGTAAGCATGTATTTCAAACAGCTGACATAAAGCAAGCTTGGCACTTAGTGCTAATGAAACGTTTGCCAAAGCAGTGTGGTGGAGAGAGGAGCTGTAGGTTTGCAGTGCACTCATGAGTTTAATTTGTTATGTAATGTTTGCATTTCAAAGGTAAGAGCTCTGAGGGGGACAGCTAAGAATTGATTGTTGCTATGTTTTGCAATACAAGTCAGTGATCTGAAACAGTAAGTTCTTAATGCCTAAAGGAAAGGCAATAAATTTTGATAGTTCTTGATATTTAAATGACTGTGTTTTATTGCTACCTCAGTGT